CGGGGTTAAATAGTTTACATCTGGAGTTCCGTTTCTCTCACTCAGTAGTTAACTATTGGAATTCTTCACCAGAACATAATATCAGCAAGTGTTGACAAATTCAAAACGATATAGGATCTCACAGAACTACAGATTTCAAGGACTAATATTTACAGGTTGAATTTCTGTTTTTACTGTTGAATAAAGAGTATAAGAAGGAATTCTGAGGATAAATAATAATGGATTTTCTGCTGACTTTTTCGGAATAGGGCTTCTAACCTACTTAGAATGCAAGGAAATTAAAATGGACTATTCTAGCATTTATCCCTTAACAGAAATCAATATTTGCATGGAAATACTAAGCTCCTGATATACCAAAATATTTATTTTTACATTCCGATTTTGGGACATATTTCAAAGCACTGATACCTTGTTATATTTATTTCCCGAAATCTCAGAGTGGTTTCTTTGATTCTTCATCGAACAATAATAAAAGAACTGGTAAAAATATTTTCACTAGTTTAAAACCCATGAAATTATTTTTTAAAACTAACAAAGGTTTTTGTTTACACACGCTACTTCTCAGTACACACATTGTGTGAGTTCTACGGCGCTTATATTAATTAGTTTGCGAATGGCTGTTTCCGCTGCCCGTGGGAAGTTAATTGCAGTAATAGGAGATGAAGACACGTGTACCGGGTTTCTGCTTAGTGGAACCGGGGAAGTTGATAAAAACCGACGACCTAATTTCTTTGTTGTTGATAAAAACACATCGTTAATTGATATTGAAGATGTGTTTCGAACTTTTGTAGGACGGGATGATATTGCTATTATCTTGATCGTACAAAATGTTGCCGAAATGATTCGTCATCTTATAGACTCTCATAATGTCGCCATACCGGCCATATTGGAAATACCCAACCGTGATATTCCGTACGATGCTAGCAAAGACACTATTTTAAAAAGAGCAAAAGGCTTATTCAGTGCTGAAGATTTTCGTTAGCGCATATAATATAAACTTGATCATACCTTTTCGTGCATAATATGTTACTTTCTGATTTGTTTAATATATATTTTCAATCACACTTCTTGTTCTGAATGTTTCACACTGAGATACTCCAATGTGTGTAGCTTTTTTTAGAAATGTCTGACTGCAAACCAGTATCTTCAAAACTTGACCAAAATGCAAAGGAGTTTGTACCACTGGCTGATATAAAGCAAAGAACACTGTCAGAGATGAAAACTGTGGTTGAGGATGTTTTCAATGTACCTCTAGGAGAGGTTCAAGCACACATGAAAAAAGTAAGTCATCCGACAATACTACTAATTGTCTTCGGATTCCTCACATAAATAGTGCCAAGCAGTTTCAACGCTGAATTTCGTTTCATTTAGACTTAAATGTTTGTCTTCCATGTCAGTATTTTTTATCAATGCATTCTGCGTGAATGTAACTCAGTTAATGGATTATGACGTTTCCTAACACACATCAACAGGTTTGTGTGGTCTTAAAGGTATTTCAGATCGGTAACTATAGACTAAATGTCGAAATATCATTTTCTTTTGGAAGGGCGATAGATATATGCACATGTATATTTTGCGACCACGTTCAGTTTTCTTTTAGATATATAAACTAATCTTGTAGGTAAATGCCGAAGGTCAGACAGTATGTTAATACCCGTGCTGGTCCTTCATTGTGAATTTCATCATTTTTCTTTCTCTTATTGCCCGCCTATTATTGTGTTTGTCGTTTTCATCTTACTTATTCCTAAGTAAAGTAACTGGGACAAACAGAATTTGTTTCCTCCGCTCTGATTTCTTTAGGGATAAGTTTACTCCTAACCCTTCGATTCTGTCAGACATCAGCGTATAACTACTGAGAGTCAAATGTAACCCTTAGGTTAAGAGGTGGTTGTATTGACGGTAAGTACTGTTGTGTTGCAGTGCGCGACTTTACATTCGTTAAGTCCTTGGTTGACCTATTTCCAATGTGGAATTCGTCATGATATTTGTATACTCTAATATTTTATATCGGTTGCTCTGATCTACCTATGGTTATCATTCGAACGTTAACAATTGTTCATAGTTCATTGTTATCAACTTGTAACTTATGTCTACTAGTTAGTTAGACCACAGATCCTAAATGGCTTTAATTCAGCTAGAGATCGAGAAAGTTCATTACTAACTAAACCACCCAAAAGGCATACGATCATGAGGTACTATAACGCAAACAAACAAATAGGGGCTGTCTCATAGGTCAACCATTTCAAGCACCAGTGACTATGTAAACTGACTTTATTTACCTCTTAAGTCGTTCTTATATATTTCAATGTCATGCAGTAGTGCATCCTAAAATAGGTAGTGTCCTGTGATGATTTACTTCCACTAATGTTGTCTAGGGTTAAGGCGGGAGAAAACAATATGCAACCGACAGTTATGCAACTTAAAAACATATGCAAATCGCATTGCCAACTAACCTTACTAGTCCTCACATACACAGTATTTTGAACCATTAGGATAACTCAGTAGCATATTTCCATATTTTTCGAGTATTCCATTATTTATGGCTAGTAATAACGTACACTAACATTCAATAATGCTATTTTATAGTCACTTAGTTTTGCCTTTTGCATATCACTTTCCTTTTTGTGGGCACTTCAATAAGTATGCTGTTTTACTTGGTGTAAATTTTCCTAATCGGTTATTTTCAAGGTTTTTAGTTGTTTTAATAGATTATATACCCTCAAACAAATAGCATCTGTAGATTCGTTATTTTGATAAAGTGTATTAGAAGTCTAATCAACATCACATACTATTCAAAGGGTAATATGCCAACTATCAATTTCTAGATTTTTGTTTTGCTAATTAAAAGAACAGTTTCCGAAACATAATTAACCTCCGTGTGATCTTTTTCGTAAACATATGACAGGACATGATTGTTCCTGCTGCATGTTTACAGTTCGTGCGTATAAACAAATTTAACAAGTAAATATTTTATGTACCTGACTTCAAGCCACTAGAAGATTAGCTTCTGCTTTGGTGAGGGAAAAACACCTAGGATTGTTAATAGTCAGGCACTAACTATTACGCCACCAATCCAGAGTATTTTATTATCTTTGAGTAAACAATAAATGCCCTGGTACGGCCGAGAATGGGGAAAGTCAACTCTCCCTCTCGAAATGCCTTCACATGGCCACATGCATATAACCACTACCAGGAAATTCCTTCTCGCGGCAGGGGTGTTCACGAAATCGAGAGGACGAAGAGCGAATGTCTGGCCCTTTAACCGGGTTGGTGGACACAGAGATTCTACCTAGAGAATTTGAAAAACCCTGATTCCAAACTAATGGTGTACATGGGCTCCGGAGGGAACTAATGGGGTATGGACCTATCATTGGTCACCGGCTACCATGGGATTACATCTCCTGACGTTGCTCCACTGCCTTGTGGGTCAGACCTTTAGGACGAAGGCTTCAGGTGTGCCCCCTAAGAAAACCACCTGCTTCGGTTTGGGCACCCGGGCAGTATCACAGCCCTCACACATATCAAATAAAATTTGTGTGGCGAATATATATCTGCTACCCCCTCGTACTAATATCTATGTGTTTAAATAAAATAAATAAACAATAATTACCCACTTGGATAAAGTATTTTACTAAGTAGGGTAGCGATGTAACAATTTTAATTCAACTTTTCACCGTAACAATATTTTTTGTTGGGTTATTTCCTTAACTCCAGATTAAAGCAATTGCAGAGCTTGATGTACCACAGGCATCTCATTTGGTTGGAGAAATCCTTGCCGAGTTGACTACAAAAAATGTTAAACGAGTCAGTCTGGGATTCCGATGTTTTAAAGATGTACGAGCCTATTTGCCTGATACAAAGGGGAATGGTTTGGAAGCTGGTGTCCTGAAAAGTGTTAAGTTGATGACTCAAGAAGTTCTATCTGGAAGCACTTTGAAGTCTTTGATGTTAAGCTCAGAAAATGTTTTGTCTGACTCCACTACATCTTGTAGGATGAGTGTGGAGTCCAGTGATGTTCTAAAAGAACCAATGGACTTACCAATTGATCATCTATTTGGTCTGGTTGTGTTCCTCAGATATCTTATTACTAATCTAAACGCTTCTGATGATTGTGAATCCTACGTATGTATTCCACCCATTGAACCCTGTATAGACTTTTGTTTACTTGTGAATGCCGTTTGCGAACTCCAACTTCATTTTGTCAGAGTGGGAAACTCTGAAGTGAATGAAACCGGCTTGTCTCTACTAGATGCATCGTGCGCTCTTTTATCTGAAACCAGCTGGGATAGCTTGTTGTATCAATTATTTGATGGTTTCTCTCACGGACTTATGTATTTCAATTCCGCTTTAGCAAGTGTCAATGTAAGAGTCCTTAATGGTGCCTGGCAACGTACTTGTAGTTTGGATGATCGGGAGAATGACCCGTATCAGTCGTCCACAGATTGCACATCTGCATCGTATCTCTCAATGTTAATAAATAAATGCCTAAGTGGGATGCGCACACTACTAGTCGAAGAACAGTTACCGACAAAAATACTCCGTTCCACTGTTTTAGACCTGCTAATGTACGCTTCCGAAATGGCTGCTATTCAAAACACCAATTGTCAAAATTGGACGGAATCACACCAAGTATATGAAGAAATCGGTTCGAAACTCAATCTTTCTGATGAATCTTTAGGAGAATTAGATGGAGAACAAGCAGCTGATTTTGAAGATTTTCTAATAGAATCTGGGCAGTTATCAAAAAAATGACGTACTGTAACATTTTCTAGTGTCAGTACTATGTATATTGTCTTTCTTAGTGTACAAATGTAAAAAATTTTAGTCTCCCTATCATAATTTGTCCAATCGACTATCTTGTGTGTTTATTTCCAAGCATTTATCTTGCTACCTCTTAATCTAAATTGTATTCTCGTCAGCTTACTCTTTACTAATTTGATGTATTACTTTAAAAATAAATGCTCTTGAAAATTCGATTAATTATTATGTTTTCTTCATTTAGCAACAAATCAAGACGTTATAAAAATAGTAAATGATACCAATCAGTGAGGATATTAAAAGTCGATATGCTAAGCTGAAGTGATTAAGTCTGTTTATGTTGTGTCAGACATGATTTAGATGTTAGTTTGAAGTCTCTGATATCGAACACGTGTAATTATATGATTGTATGAAGATGACTTACTGCAACCACGACACTACTTATTGCAGCATTATAGGTGACAGCATGGAACGAGTTTGAATTCCAAAGACAGATGTTGCGCTATTTGTAAAAAGTTAATCAGTTCCGCTGAAATTTCAATAAAAACGAGATTGCAGTCATTAACTACTTAATCTAGTTGAAAACATTAATAGTTAGTCCTAGCAGTACATATGCCCTCGTAATAAATGCATAGATAACAGCTCGCCGAGGTGAACGTATATAAAGTAATTCTTATTAGATATCTTAGTGGTACGTTGGGAATGTGATTCGCATGTTTCTCGACAAACATTGGCTATAAATTCTGGATCTTGCTGGTGCATAAAAGAAACGTAGAATAGAATTGTTAATCATGAGAATGGCAACGAAGTAAAGATAGAAAAACTTGTGATATTTTGCCCACACTTGTCACTTTGGAGATTTCATATAAGTAGCTATTCTTCATAGTGCAAATAAGCTGCAATATCAGAGGACCTATTAAGGGGATGAATATTTATCTAAGTTAGAGACTAGACTATCTACAGACATCAAGGTATACTGGTTGAATCCAATTGGTATAATGGGATTTGTACATGACTGCAGACATGAAAACAACTCAAAGTGCTGTCAAGCTCGTTTAGACAGTTCGAATTTCACGTTGACGTGGTCAATAAAGTGTAGGATCCGGAAACACTTCTGACTGATAGCTAAGTAGTAATCTGAGAGCAGACAATCTGAAAAACAACCTACTGAAGTTAAATGAGTCTGGTTTAACCACCTTTATTTTTGCTTTTAGATGTAGTAATCTCCGTCTAATCACTCCGCGACGTATTGTGGGCAAGTCTGTACAAACTTCCAGTAGTGAAATGTTTACCTATCTAATAACGATAGTATAACTTATCTGGTTTCATATGTAGTCAGAATATACGATTTAATGACTACAAGTAAAGTAACATGAAATATTCTCAATACTAACAAGGTAACCCAATTAATTGCAATATCTGATCATAAGCTACTGAATTTTTGTGAGTTAGAGGGAACGAATATCATGTACATAACAAACTGAAATTTGTAGAAGTGAATAACATAACTCAGTAGTTAAGTAAATTTACGGTCCGGTTTTTGAAACGTGACAGATGAAACCATGGCACACAAAAGTGGTGTTTTAAGTAAAATGCATCTAATGTTGGGTACTATGTAAATAGGTGATTATTGTGAAATATGCGTAAAATATTGGTTTATTCCTTAGAAATTTATTAAACTATAACAGCACTGTTGGCTTTTAAAATCCTCGTATAATCTCCAATGTTGTTGGATGCGGTAGCTACATTGCTACATATTCGATTTCGCTTCCCACCGTTCTTTAGCCTGAAAACTAGAAATAAAACCATTGTTATATAAAGGAATGTTGATTCCTAAAATTATTATTATTATATGCATGACACAGTCCTCAAAAATAAATTAAGCACCAAGTTTTCTAAATAATACAATGTCCACTTCACGATCATTTTCCAACTACGAGAAAAGCATGATAACGTTAGTTTGTTTCTAGTTGCCTAACTAATATAATCATACAAAAAAAGTACGAAAAATACCCAGAAGCGACTTTATGCCTTAGCATTATGTAACTACGCAGACGAGTATCCAAGCAAAGTGAGGATGTTACCCACAGGTTTGAACACTTTAAGATAGATTAAAATAGAAACGTAACAAGGTTTGAAATGCGTCTATACCAATTAGTACTTATTCGATTCCTAAGACCTAGATAAAGCTATATACCTTTAAAAACAACATTTATGATAGTAAATCCCGTTCGATATTGTAAAAAATGATCTTAATAGTTTCCATAAATCAACATATAGTAACCTATTAAAATATTGAATATGTTACCATGCACTTTGTTTAATTATTTTAATATATGTAAATGTAAGTCACATATATGAAATTATGACGAAATCGAATGCTGAACATGTTAAATCGATATAAAGAATATCTTATCTTGAATAAAAATTACATTATTACACTGAAAATAAAACGAATATTATTCTGAACAGTTTTCACATTGAATTAGGGAAAAAAGGCTTGTCAGTTCTGACCAGAATAGTCTTAATATGGTAAACGAAATCACCCATCTTAGGTAGTAAGAATGTAATATCCAAATGTCTACTTATCTTAACTTTTCATGAAATCAACTTACGCAAAAGTGAAATAATACTTAATTAAAATTTATTTCCAGATGTCACTAACTATATCATATTACATTAGCGTGTAACTTCTATTGAAAGCATCATGAATGAGGCGTTACTTCAGTTAGCAGTTTCCAAAATGACAATGAAAATTTGGTGATTTGTATCATCACAATTCTCGTTACTCAGCCTATTTTTACTGGCTTCAGAGGATATACCTGTGATAAATCAGTAAAAACTTGATAAAGTATATCCAGTTAATGTTATCAGTATTTCTGTGCTTTTTATTTGTTTTACCCTTCAGTGGGTTTTTTTCATCCTAATTGACGTATAATAAGTAATATGATAATATATTTGTAATATCCCAATAAATAGTAAAGTGAATTTCTTCCGTTTTATTCACTGAATAAGCGACTTATATTAAGTCGCAAAATATCAGAAGTTTAATATTTTACTCATTGATACATTTTAATAGCATACTTTTGTTCTTTTTGTTATAAACCATTCGCCTAGTTCTTCATTCATTTGAAATTATCCAGTAACACCTTGGTAGCAATACTTAATTCATTTATGTTTACTTGTGTTAGTCTATGCTTAGAAGTGAGACACTTTAAGGAAGATTGGCACTTCAAATCACTGATTTTACTTCTGATCCCGAAAAATGATATTACATTAGACGTCTGGTACAAGAGATATGAAGATGTGTTTAAAATTTAATTGGTTGATCTGGACAATGGCACAAGAGCTTTTTCTTTTCTCAAGAAGTTGTGAATACGTTAAATATACGAATGTTATTCTGCCGAAATTGTCTAGAGACATTAATTTGTTGATAATATTTATTATTATTTGAAAGATTTTTGGTGAGTGATCATCCCTACTCACTAGCCATTACAGTTGTTTAAAAATACCCAAGTTACCTACTGATTCCCTGACTTATGTTGATAGACTGAATCGATCATGAGAGCGTTTTAGTCTGTGTGCCCCCAAATGCCCTGGTACGGCCGAGAGTGGGGAAAGTCCGCCCTCCTTCTCGAAATACTCTCAAACGGCCACGCGTATATAGCCTCTGCCAGGGAAGTCCTACTCACTGCCTTCTCGTGGCGGGGGTGTTGTTTACGAAATTGAAAGGACAAAAAGCGAATGTCTGGCCCTTTAACTGGACTCCAAACCAATGGTGCATATGAGCTCCAGTATCCTTCAGAAACAAATGGCGTATGAACCAATCGTTGGTCACCGGCTTCCATGGGGTTGCATCTCCTCACGATGCTCCACTGTCTTGTGGATCAGACCTTTAGGTCAAAGGCTCGGGGTGTGGCCCACTAGGAAAACCACCTGCTTCGGTCCAGGTACCCGAGCAATATCACAGCCCTCACACAAATCGGGTGATTTATGTGGCGCATATCTACTTGGTGCCTCCTTGTACTAATGTTTATGTGTTTAAATAAATAAATAATAATTTAGTCTGTGTTCACTAATCCGAAACCAATTCAGATATTTAATTTTTGCACTGAATTTCAATCACCATTCGATTCTGAAATCTGTAGTCGTATTTTAGCACTTAAAGAACAGGATGGTTCTCTCTAACCCCTAAAATATGACAGCGGGGTTCCAAAGAACTATGAATTTAAAATGAGACACAAAACTAACTGAAAACAGGGGAGATACATACATAATGAACAAACGGTGCCGAAATATGGGCTAACAAACAAAGAAGCAGTCAAGGGGAAAATTTACACTGATAAAAGTACATACTCTTTAATTCCGATGTTTATTTACAAAAATATGCACTGGATTCTTACATATGTACAGCAGAATGCTTAAAGCAACACATTATAGAAACGTTTGTTTTTATTTAACGTCAAGTACAATAATTATAAAGACAATGTTTATGAAGTATTCCTATGAGGACATAAAATAGATGTACTAATTAGTTATTGATTTGAAAAATAATGTATTTAGCATATAAACGGATCGGGAATCATATGGAACCACGCGGCAAACAGATTTGATCGAACTCTTCTGGTTAGCATAAGTAGTATGACATACTAAACTAACCATCTACTGTTCTTCAACATTAGGCAATACAACAAATGACAAATTAATGCAAAATATGCAGCGAAATGCAGGTGGAAAGTATAAACCTTGGTTTTACAGCTCTCTTATTTACGAACCTCATAAAACATACTATTTGGCTTATTTTCATGATTATATCTATGAACACAGTAATTAAGAATCTAGTTTTTGTTTCTCATGCGTATCGTTCAAACTGCTCTTTTGTACAGAGTTAATCTCAAAAATCTGTTTAAAATTTGCATTAATAATTATTTACTAAAGAGATTGAATACTAAAACTTTAAATCAAATGAAACTTTATACATGGATTTTTGGTTAATTAAAAATCACACAAAAAGTGAAACAATATGAGAAAGAGATAAATTTAACAGAGAAAAACATGTCACATTTTAATGTAGAATATTGATTCCTTATGACTGTTCATAATAGTGAGCCGTATTCTCATAATAAACTATGAAATTATAAGGTAGACAACATCAAAATGGGTCAAGTTTTCACATTTCGATTCGTAACACAGAAAAAAGAGACGAAAACAACGATTAACAAGAATTAAAGTGGAGCGTCAGCTTAAGTGGTTAAAGCGTCTAGCTTTCAACCAGGAGATTAATGTTCGATTCTTACTTCGAGTACAAGCAACCCAATGGTATCACTAGCTTTACAAAAAGTGTGGTTCTCAGGTTCGTACGTAAATCTGTACTTGATAAATAAGTAACATAGGCACGAACTAGAAAGAAGGGTAGCCCAAGGACTGAATAAACAAATGTCTTATACCTAATTAAAGACTTGGATTATCTCGTTACTGATAAATCTTGACAGATTTTTTTTACTAGTCTTAACTGGGATATATACACCCTGAGCGGATAGCCTCGATAGAGCCATTTTCACAACATTTTACTGAATAGATGGGTTTTGGCTAGAACTAAATCCAGAACGATTGTTTCGTCTCGCTTGGGGCACGTCAGCTGGATGCATGCGATTCACGTACATTCAGCAGACGAGTTTAAAACGACAAAATGCGTGTCCTGTATTTCGCTGCTAGACACAATCCATCTTTTATATTAAATGTTTGTAGTTGAGTCTAAAAAGATGTGAAAATTTCCACAACCATCTTACTAAACTATGACGTTTAAATTATCAACAAATAATCCCTTATATTTCAAATATCATAAGCATGTTTAGAACAGTTGCAAACAATTTAAACCAAGAGATGATAACTGATGATCAGCTGGCAAAAAGACTTGGTTTGGCCAACCTGAAACTTTCTCATGTCTAACTTAACAATGAAGATCGGAGTAGGAAGTGACTAATCCTGTGTAGAATTTATTCTGATTTTTTCACTTAATGAATGTAGACACCTTTATCAGATAAATTTACTTCTTGTGCAATAAATTTCATCAAAAAAATTTGTGTTAGTCGTCTATAAGACGTAGTGCGTATACGCACTTGTTGCTTCAAAGTGATGAATACGTATATGTGGTTTGCTTGTATGGTACATATTTCCCTTTAGCTTTTCAAAAAAAAGCTTTTAGACAGAACAATCAGTTGAGTGCAACAAGTGATGTGAGTTGGTGTGTGTTAACAAGACAATTTGTATTACTGAGGAAATAAGCCACCCATCAATCATGTGAATGAGGAGTTCAGTACATCTTACGGGATGACTTTTGTAATCAAACTGTCGTGATGTATTAGGCAGGGGTTCTTAGCATTAGTAAATTCATAATATAGGGCCATCACTACGATACAATACCATTAGTGAATATCCATCTTTGATTTTACATTAATCGATACTGTAATAAGTCTTTTACCACACAAAAAATCAACCTTGTTAATTTTCAAAGTTAACAAAAATAGACAGACAAACAGTTACAGATATGGTGTTCCATAAAAAAAAGTATAAAACAGGAAAAATTGACTCAATAAATCATAAACTTACAGCCAAACAGGTCGCCGATTTTTTAATTCCTCTTTGTATTCATCTTGCTTGCTCAAAGTCAAATGAATATTTTTGTCGGAAGAAGCTGTAGACAACAACTATAGATTTGAGGAAAAATCGAGGTGGATGAGAATGACTGACACAATAAATTACTATTTATGAATTATTTTTATACTTAAATGGATTGTATTATTAATGTATTACGGTTGTCGAACCAGCTGTACTTTCTGAATTAAGTATTTGATAAACATAGAGTAATCTTTCAGAACTTAGCAACTGAGGATCAGCACTAGAAATAATTGATACGCTGAGTCGATCAGACAGGCTAAATGACAAGTGAGAAATGCTGACGGGCGCACGTTATTGACCAAGATTCGGCCTGACTTTTCAAGGAAATAAACATACGCTACAGATTAAAAATGTGGCTTCATTTTCTGAGGGACATATATTTATGTTTGTGAGTTGTGTATACAGTTTTGATCCGGTTAGCCTATCAAAAATTTCTACTCACTCTCGGTTTTCACACTCAATTAGCTACATATATAGTAAGCGTGTTTTTTATCAGTAGCAAACTCGAACAACCGCAGAGCATAGCAGTAGTTTCTGATGTCAAACCTCTTTTGTTATAAAACATCTTATAATAAATCTTTTGATCATTTAAACATGGGTTTTCAAAACATATAGACTATGAATGAATCATTAAAATATAATAAAAATTATTTGTGAATTCCCATTAATTACGTGCTCTACGAATGAAAGTCATGGATATTACAGATTGCCATAAAATGTGCTCATAAATTGCAATTTTTATTTAAGTGAGTGGCGCAACTATACAAACTAGAGGTTTTTATCAAAGAAATATTAATCAATATGTTATATATGATACTTTCCTTGGGAAAAATACAGTTAAGATGCGCCACTTTGTATTTTTGATTTAACTGAATCCAGTTACGATGTCAGAAATAGATGAACAAATAATTTATTATTTGCAATTCAATTTATGATATAAAAGATTGCACATTCAATTTTCCATGTATTTCAAGTAATTCTTCCTAAGAAATAAGGTAAAAGGAGAACCTTTGTAGGCCTTCCTCATAACTAGTATATATATATATATATATATATATATATATATATATATATATATATAACCCAGCCTGTAGCTCTTCTAGAGTTACTGCCGGTCCCAAGCTCTGGTAAAAGAGGAAGGTTGGGCATGTGGTCAGCAACCCCACTCCGTAGAAAACAATCTTGCTAAAATAACGCCATCCAGATCAAACAAATCAAACCATTTAAACTCTGACTCCGAGTTGAAGGGAGAATCATGACGCCTCATGATGAAAGCCGAGATTATTTGAAAGTCACAATGCCGATGCCCCTTCTAGCAACCAGAGCAACAATTTCTATGGGTACATCGAACGTCCGGATAATTGGACCAAAGCTGGACAGCAAAGGCTAGATATCAGAGAGATGCCGCTGTACTCCGGTCACAAAGAGGAAAATGCTTCACACACTCATGGAGTTGCTCTGATGCTGTACAAAGAAACACGAAATGCACTTATGGGATGGGAATCTCACGGATCCAACATCATCAAAGCATCCTTCAAAACAATGAAGGAGGGAATTACAATGAATATTATCCAATCTTATGCACCCACTAATGATAGCAATGACGACGATTAAGATCATTTTCATGAGAGGCCGCAACCGATCATAGCAAGGTGCCCAAGGAAAAAACCTCACCATCCTGATGAGGGACCTAAACGCAAAAGTCGGAATGGACAACATCGAATATGAAGATATCATGGGAAGACATGGACTAAGAGAAAAGGATGAAAATGAGGAGAGATTTACAAATCTATGTGCATTCAACAAATTGGTTAAAGCGGCACAATATTCTCACTCAAACGCATGTACAGAGTTATATGGATTTCACTGAATCACACCACGGAGAACGAGACAGATCATATTCGCAGTTCACAGATTCTCTCGAGTCATCGCCTGTATATGTTGGGACTATGAGTTAGCAATTCTTAGGTTAGAGGCGGAGTACTAGATAAGGATGGTGAATCGACTGGTAATGCTAATGAGTTATCAACTGAGGTGGTTGTTACATATATGAGGCTTTACATATCCCTAACCCCCACTTATAGCGGCGCACAATCATGACTGGTGTATGAGTACATTGGAAGAAAGCTAAAGGCAACTAAACCGAGACATGACGATTCGACTGAACCATATAGACAAATGCAGACCGCCTAGTTAGATCTCCGTGAATATTGTAATCAGTGGCTGAAGCTGTTGTGTGAAATAGCCGAAAATCGTTTGAAATGCCGCAGGTGCATCTACACTTTGTCTATCCTTATATCCTGAGTCCGAAAATCCTTTAATCTTTTAACTCTGTGTCTAGTCTTTTCTACTATTACTACTGATTATGTTAATACTTCTAACAAACTGGGATTTATCTTGATAATTTTACCCCGCCGTTAAAATGTGTTGTCTCAACTCGAACCGATGATGCACATGTGCCAGGTTTTACAATATTTACGACTGATTATTTAGAGAGGAACAGGGTAATAATCCTTCAGTAATAGATATAGACTAAACTAATTAGATCAATAAAGATGTTCTGAACACTTTTTAGATGATTATCAATGTTAAAGTATTCTCAGTGTCTAAATATTCTTAAAGCCAGCTGCCTAAGAATGAATTATGCTGTTTGCATGGTATGATCAGGTTATTTTTGAGTTTTACCTCATTTCAGTAACATAACTAGATCCAAAATTCTACATTCAAATCTTTTGTTTGGTACCAAAAGGCCGTCACAGTTACAGATATGTTACGTGTAACATACAATGTAAATAGTAAATATAAATTTCACTATTATTGGATTCAAACTATCATTTACCAACACAGAACATTAAGAATATATCGCGTACGTAGAACAAGAACTGTTTTGTCTATGGGGTGAATACGAGTTTTTATTTTATTTCTATACAGCTACTGGGTCACTACATCATAAAGACCGTTCAGTATGATTAACATCAGTAGGACACCAACATTTTAAAGCTCCTCTAAACAATGTTGGTAGGGTGAATTTTAGAAACACAATCAAATATTCTCGGAGTTTTCAAGTATTTTTTTTTAACATGCTTTAAAATAAAACTGAGACAAATGAACGCTGAATATCATTATTTCACCAAGAATTCATAAATTTATCGAGAAATTAGTCGTATGAGTTTACGTAATGTACATAATTAGATTAAATAGGCATGAGCATATATATACATATATGTATCTATATGTTAATAATTTTAAAACGAGACAGAATAAGGAGTTCGCTAATAGTTATTAATTAAAGTAGGAGAGAATAAATTATTTTGTGATCCAAACTCACACTTGAAAATCTACCTTTTGAGGGTATTTGCATAAAATGCGATTCAGAGTACAAACGTAACCGGAAAACCACATGATATAACTTACATGATCTCCAATGGAGTCACTTATCTTTTCTGCTAGGTCAGCCTGCCCAGAATCGATTGCGCGGTTCAAACGCCATTCTAAAGTGCCTTTATGTAAACTCTCAGCATGAATACGACTTAGGTCTTTAGAATTAGATGCGTTTATAACAACTGAAGCGAGGGGAGACTGGGTAAGAAAAGTCGTACAGTTAGTTTAAAAAAAAGGCACTGACAATAGATAGTATTTGATTTACCTAAAATGAAAACCATAACAGATGGAAATGGGTTTCATACCTATCGAAACTCACCGATATTCTGCAAAAAGTATTGCCCTTACAAAATCTCAGGTCGTGAAGGTTAGATACTCTTTATAAAGTGTGACCGGAATAAACAGTGCAACTTAAAATGTTTTAGGGACAGCAAATCAGACAGAAGACACCAAGTTGAAAACCCAAATACCACATATATGAAGCTGTAAGAAAACTAAACTATCGGACCGAGTGAACATCAAAGTACTGAAACTATTACCTAATAGCATGAAAATTAAGTACTATAAAGTGAAATTTGTGTCAATAAAACACTATATACTTTAAACTCGACCGCTGTTGCTACCTTGACGTGGTGGTCGGACTTGCCTATCGTGATGAAGCAACCGAGCTATACTGGCTGGAACAACTGTTCCTCAAGGTCCTACCATGTCAGACAGGTCGGTTGAAGAGCGGTAAGACTAAAAGCAACAAACCTAAGGTCTGAAGGCGAAGTCGTACTGCTGACTGTACAGAGGTGTGACAGCAGTAAGGTGTTTCCTTCAGACAACCAGCATGACAGCGATGCTGCCTTCCCACAAGGAGGGGTGGGGTTAGAAAAGGTCGACCCTAAAAATGCACACCTCGCCTTATCCCACGGATATCCGTCTCCGGCGGTAAGGTCTCAACAAGTACGGAGCTAACACAAAAATTACCCATAAAAAGGTCGTGTGTGACCAACCTCAAACAGTTGTCCCTTGGGCATTGCGGTCACGCTCCCACACTAACCGCCCTCATACCTCTAACAGCACTCAAGACCACTGTATTCATAATCAACCTCCGTCTTCACTTCCTATTACTCCTCCTACATCGATTTTCACCTCTAAACTTCCTTTTTTGGCTTCCTCCTCAAATGTCACTATAGCCAACGATTCTAGTGCTCAAAACACTGTCTCAGGTCCACTGAAACCTCGTTCCAAACTACACATTAGAGCCTTCAATGTACACACACTATGTCAAATCGGTCAACAGGCTTCCTTCGCTAGAACCCTAGAGTCTCGTACCATTGATGTATGCTGTGTCTCTGAAACACGCATACAGGATCCCAGTGTGGTGATTCACTTGACCTCACCTCGGCAAAATGGAGAGCCAACGAGATACACTCTCCGTGTATCTGGTGGCCCGACGGCCAGCTCTCGTGGACTGGCAGGAGTAGGGATAGCACTAAGCATGAGGGCGGAACAAGCACTGTTAGAATGGATCCCCGTTAACAGTCGTCTATGTGCTGTTCGGCTAAACGGCTCCGTAAGAACTCGGAAGGATAGGGACACACGTCGTTGCTTTTCGTCGTTTCTGCCTACGCTCCCACCGACTGCAGCTCAGATGAAGTGAAAGATGAATTTTACAGAAAGCTATCTGAACTTCTTCAGAAAGCTAAACGCTCAGACATAGTACTCGTAGCAGGTGACTTTAATGTCCAGATAGGTAGTGTAAACCAAACAGAAAGGTATTTAGGTGGGTATTTTAGTATTCCGGCTCAGTGAACAGATAATGGTGATCGTCTGCTGCAACTGTGCTCAGACAATCGTTTATTTTTAGCAAAAACAAATTTTAAGCATAAGGAGAGACATCGTCTAACATGGCGACCCCCTACACCAAGCCAACGATGGACTCGAACAGACCATATTGCCATCAGCCATCGTTGGAGAGGGTCGGTAGAAGATTGTCGCTCATTCTGGAGTACCTGCTTGGACTCCGACCACGCTCTCATACGGGCACGCATCTGCCTGCCCCTCACTGTACGCAAAAAAGCCACACTAAAAAGACCCATTAGATCTGAATTGAGTAGCGAGAAAACCAAAAGTAGGTTCCAGGAACAACTGAGGTCACACTTAGGTAGTTCTGAAAACTAGGCTGACCCAGATGTTGCTTGGAAAGCTATACAAACAGCAGTGACATCTATCAGTGATTTAAACCACAGGGTTACAAAGAACCAATGGATTTCCTCAAGGTCTATTGCACTGATGGATTCTCGTAAACCCATCCCATCAGGCTCTGAACACGATGGAGAGCGAAAACAAATCAGATCTAGGTTAAGAAAAAGTCTAAGAAACGACCGTGAGCAGTGGTGGGCAACGAAAGCAAAGGAGATGGAAAAGGCGGTGGCTATATGGAACACAAAACAGCTCTACAGACTAATAAAAGAAACTGGAATTAATAAGTGTAAGTCAGACTATTTAGGAAAAAGACGACACCTTCATCTGCTCTTAAAAGCAGCATTTGATTCGGTAGACCGCGAGATTCTGTGGCAATGTCTGTCATTGAAAGGCGTACCTCAGAAGTACATAAACCTTGTGAAGGCTCTTCACTCGAACACTACCAATCGAGTCAGAGCTTATGGCGAACTGTCATCTGCTTTTGCAACCTCAAGTGGTGTCCGACAAGGCTGTCCACTTTCTCCATTTCTGTTTAACTTCATCATAGACCTATTGATGGAAACAATATTCTCGTCGACTGAATTCTCGGGTATTGATCTCCTTCCAGGAGGTCCACTTATCGACTTAGAATACGCGGATGACATAGTCCTGTTTGGTGAAGACGCTGATAAAATGCAGAGTCTTTTGGTAGCACTGAGCAACAATGCCAGAATGTTTGGAATGCGCTTCTCTCCCTCTAAATACAAGTTGTTGCTTCAGGACTGGTCTGCGTCAACACCTGAACTGAGGATAGGGAGTAAAGTAGTCGAACGCGTTGACAACTTTACTTATCTCGGAAGTCTGATCAGCCCTAATGGGTTGGTGTCTGACGAAATCTCAGCACGGATTAGAAAAGTTCACTTGGCTTTTGCCAACTTGCGTCACCTATGGCGAAGGCGAGATATCTGTCTATCAATAAAAGGACGAGTATACTGCGCGGCAGTCCGTTCTGTTTTAATTTACGGCAGCGAAACATGGCCATTAAGAGTAGAAGACACTCGTAAGCTACTAGTATTTGACCACATATGCCTCAAAAATATTGCTGGCGTCTGCTGGGATCGTTTGCAATCGCGCAGGTGCATCCACTCTTTGTGTTCTCCCAAATTCTAATCTTCTGAATTCTTCATGTCCCTTTTTTTCTCTTTCCAAATTTATTTCACTGGATTGTACTCTTTAAATAACATCTCCAAACCCTAATCTTCCCGATTACTGCTTATACTCTTGCTACCTCTACCACTACGGGATTTGAATCAACAACTGCATCTCTGTGCTAAGGTGGTGTGGCAACTCGAACTGATGTACGTACGTACGAAGTTCTACGTTGTACTGACTGACTGACTGATTGCTGGTATCACCGGGTAAGTAATAGTGATGTTCGACGCAGGGTATTAGGTAATGATGGTAAACCAGTCGATGAGGTTGTGAATCTTCATCGACTGAGATAGTTGGGCCACGTGTTACGTATGCCCGAACACCGATTACCACGACGTGCAATGCTAACCGCTGTTCGGAATGGTTGGAAGAAAGTTAGGGGCGGCCAAATCAAAACGTGTCATCAGTGCTTGAAGTCACTAACTTCTGGTCTGAGCTATGTTGGTAGATGCAGATTACCTGGTTGGGGTCCGCGTGACTATCGTAACCAATGGTTGGAGACTCTTGGTGACATGGCTCAGAATCGATCACAATGGCGTCGGTGTATACACTCTCTATCTCCCCTTAAACTAAGAGATTAAAATTGCTTCATATCTTTCTTTCTACGAACTAATTCTTTCTTTCTGTACTATATCCTTATTACAATCTTTCTTTTATATATTACCACCTCTGAATTAACTACTTTTATGAATCCGGTGTCCATCTTGTTGCGTTAATGAGGTATGGCAACTTGGACCGATGCATAAATGTGCCTGGTTCTACGTTGTAGCTGACTGACTGATATACTTTAAAGCTTAATATTTGCAGAGTCATGTATTGAACTACTGACGAAATGTGACACAAGGAATGAAAATGTTACCATGATGCTAGTATGAGTTAGAATGAACAGGAATTCATGATTGACTATTTACTGAATGAGCACTGAAATCATATACACTCCGATAGCTTTGACTGTTAATAAAGGTCAGACATAAGCATTGATGGTTATATCTCTTTGTATTTCAATTATCATATATATATATATATATATATATATATATATATATATATATATATATACTGATGAAAACAACCAAGTCTATTAGTGGAAAGTATGAATGAATTTTACTATCCTATTATCGTTAGTGGAAGAAAAATTATTATACCGTCTTATTTGTCGAATTCATTGACTTCAATTTTCTTTGTTTCCAAGGTCGCAGAGTTATATCCTGCTTATTTACCTCGAGTTCAATTGCCCGGAGGCATGTAGCAGTCGCTGATGATTTTGGCACAATTTCTAGAACTATATGTGGAAAACTCTAGTCACTAGACTAAGAAATTACTAACCATCGTTAATTATTTTCCTTTTTAATTCAACTTCTCGGATCTTCATCGAACGAGAACACATAAGACGTTTGCGTTCCTGAAGAGAATGTAATTTCTACACGAAAGCTTGATTTACTTTTTAACGAAAGATACCTGCAATAATTCTTCGCGCATGATTTACCATCCGTAAATGTGTGTATTTTTACGGACTAGCAAATGCTCCTCCATTTAATACAGTGAATCGCCCATCAGTTGATCTGAAAAAGGGGTGAATGAAAGAGTGATGATAAATGCAAATAAAACTAAGACTCTATCTAGATAATATATATTAGAGTTTCCCAGTTGGTTTAGGATACGACGCCTGTAGCTATTATAATAAAGTATTTTAGGTTCTGTGATTGAACCGTTTTGGTTGTTAGGATGAGTATAATACTGATAGATGGTGGGTTTGACTAAAAACTGTTCACGTAATCAAACTACTGACGAAAACATAATGAGCTGATTTCAAAAAGCAAAACAAATGATCAGCAAGAGTTTCCCTCCCAGTGAAATGACAAACTCATGTAAAAACAACAAACGCTAACAAATACGAATAGTTGCTACTTAAAATGTAAGCAATTGTAAAATAGTTTTTAAGTCATTCGACTTCCAATGAAATAGAAATGGACTATTCAGTTTAATTACTACAAGTTGTATCGTCTCCTCAATAAAGCCTAAATTATTTTTACGGCATTTACTACTACATGCCATGTTTATTCCCATTGATTTGGTTTCATACTGGTGTCTATGATGGTGAAAATAAATAAATCATGTAAGTCGGATTGTACTGTACCTTTTCCCATATTATATTGATCTTAGTATTTTTTTGAATATACGGTAATACACTTGTAGTCGTATTCCTAAAAGCGAAAAAAAAAGTTCGCCATTTTCACCTGCAAATTGTGATTAAAATAACGATACTTTCTACAAACAAAATGTTTAATTCCTCAAAATTTCATAAATTGTTCAAGTAGAATTGAAACCATATGTGTATGCCGAGATAGTCTTTTTCAAACTACAGTAAAGTCATTATTTGCCGCAGCAACTAAATTACAATAAAAAGTTTGGGGCGTAGTGAATATTGTTTGTTTATAGTGGAGAAGGGCTCATTTTAATGGTCATCCCAAAGATATAGATATTGGAAAGTGAATCTTAAAATAATTAACCACCAGATTTTCCCTTCTCACCCTTACCAAACAGTTTACAAGTAACGTTATTTAGTAATATAGTATTATGTTAGTTTCCAACATCTCTGAATAATAGAATTGTAACAAGTGCTGCTCCCAAGGTATGCATCAGTATACTAAAGGAGGTAGAATTTTAATTGGTAAGTTTAGGTCTAATCGATCTACAGTGAACTACCAGTTGTCAAGTTTGGGAAACTGCTTAACTTCCTGTCCACTTTAGCACGAACCCTGTTTTTTGAAGGAATTTACTACAATTTGTGGAAGTTATAAAACCTTTTTAAAAATGGCTGCCCAAGTAACCATGTTAAAGTACATAAGACACCATGACGGTAGGAAAAACACTGAGCATTTTGTGGATGATATTCGTCATTACTAGAAGTTTATTTTTTCGTTTGAGTAAAAAAGTTCTTACTAACGCGGAGAATTTGATACTCTCCCGAACAGTTCAATGTAACATATGGACTTAGGTGTATCAACACCTATATAACATAGTTCTCCAAACATTACTGTCGAAACTCCTCCCAAATAATAGACGTCAGGGGGGAAATCGACTTTTCTTCTTTATTTACTTTATAGTCAACTTTATTTCTGCTTTAGTTCGGGTCCATTTCCCCTTTTACGGTTCCCTAGATAACTTAAGTCATTTCATGTTGTCAAGACTTTCACCGTTCTTAAACAATAATACGTGATACTGATGAATCTATATGATTACACGTAGTCACTGTTTGTTCATATATGAACAAGCGGCGATCTGAAAAATACTTTAGAAGTGAACTAGTATGCATGTGGATGGACCAGTTTAATTCATAACATCTGATCGAGTGAATTTAACTTATAAAAACTGTACATTAACGTAACATCAGCTAAAACTTCGGCTAGAGCATAACCTACGAATGACTTTTCGGCGGCGGTGAAATGACCTTGAAACAACTTCAAATTACTAGCATCAAAAAGGATTACAAATTAGTATGGCGAGTTAGGATTAAAATTTGGGGTAAGGAACTTAATTTTACATCCTCAGCTGATATCGACTACACTTATGACAATTTAATATGAGATCTATATATTCTGCTGGAAGTCGAGAGGTCATTTCATGGACACATGACATTTGCTTTCGCAGCATTCCTCATGCTTCGTACAAGGAATGAAGGTATCTCTCTGGTGCCGAAAAAAATCTTCGACATTCGATGGGATCCTAAGACCATACTGTTGATTTGTGAATGACCGTCCGAAGCTGCGTGTCTACAGAATTTGACCGCTGAGCAGAGATCCCAGTTTATGACAAACTTATCCAGAACACCTATACAGTGTGTAAGGAATCCTAAGGGATACCTGCTTTGCATAGCTGCCGTGCGTCATTATGAACTGATGCGGGAGCACTCTTATATCTTCACTTTCAAATATGGCCAGTAGTAGAATACTTTTGGCGTCAGTTCCTTATCAGTGAAAATCAAATATTCGAGTCCCTAGTCAAACACCCTGTATGCTCACAGTAATATCATATTTTTAGAGTCCTTTGAGTTCTTAGTCTCGATGACGAAGTGACGGCGTTCAGGCAGTTATCGGCGGCCTGCTTGAATATCTGGGCTACCTGTTTCTGCCATCTGATTATTTCAACAAGTTATCTGTTTTTCATTAGTTTTAATTTATAATTATGTCCATTAATCGCATAATCTATTCAGGCGCTTTTATGAAAAGCCTACGACCTTCCGCTGCACAAGTTACGAAAAAGTACTATAAAAGGCATCGTGGTGGTTGGCAATATGCGTTAAAGAGAATGAACATTAATCATATGTCAATTCCCGAGCTACTAAATTCTAACTGCCGATCACTAATCAACAAAGTGGACTATCTGCAATTCTTACTTAGTCAAAATACGTATCGTAATTGTGGTGTCATCACAGTTCAAGAATCTTGGTTGAATGATTTACAGGATGACTGCCTTGTATCACTAGGTGATTTTAAAATTTATCGTCAGGATCGATCGAACAATAAAAAGAGGTGTGGTGGCGGTGTAGCTACGTTTGTAAACATAAACTGGTGTCGATCTTCGTTTGTGTGTTTTAAGTTTTCAAATGACTTTATCGACTGTCTAACTCTAAGATGTTGTCCAAAACATCTGAATAAATACAAATATGTTTATGTGACCAATATCTACGTGACTCCAGATTGCACATCATCTGCACTATCTGTTTTTGCTGATGAATTCACTGAGTTTGCTGTTACTGCCTTCAGTTATTCACTTTCAGTTGTATGTGGTGATTTCAATTCATGTGACTGTAGCTTCCTTATGTCACTAGGTCACCAAAATGTAGTGGATTTTCCTACCCGTTTGGATGCTCATCTAGACTTCGTCTTCATTAATGATGTGGGTATATATGCGACTCGTAAACGTCCTCCATTGTCTAGCTCAGATCACTGTATAATTCGTGTTCTACCTAAAGTATATGGAAAGCATGGGAAGAGTACACTCTTACATCAAACCAAGAAAGTCAAATATAGGAATTACACAGAAGAAAATATCCGAAATCTGAAAAACATGTTTCATACGACTAACTGGGAATTATTTACAGATGACTCACTCGAAATCACTACTGATGTTATCACTTGTTACCTTAAATTCCGTTTTGATATTTGTTGTCCCACTGAAACCATTTTTGTAGGTTTTGATCGACTTACATCTTCACAACTAAAACGACTACGGAGGATGAAAGAAAGAATGTACAAGGAGAAGAACTCAAATGAAGTTCGTAAGCTAAATGGTCTGATAAACCTAGAGATTAGACGTCTCAACTGTATGTTTACTCAAAAACTCTTATCTTGTAAAAACTCTCCAAGTATGTGGAAACTCTTTAAAGAACTTACAGGTGACAGAAAGTTTAGAAGCGATAACCAGCTGAATGTTTGTGACTTAAATAAGTCTTTTGTACGTCAGTCATCTGATGTGATGCTCCCTCTATCCACGGGTTTAAAAAATAGCTGTGTTCATACGTTCACTGAAACTGATGTACGAGGATGTCTCCAGTCGCTTAATTCATCTCGATGTTTGGGACCTGATGGTATCCCAAACATCCTTTTTAAAAAATGTGCTGACGTTCTGTGTCATCCGTTCAAAACTATATTTAACAGACCCTTCTCATCTAATCTCATACCGAAAATGTGGAGAAAGATGAAGATAATTCCTGTACCCAAGAAAGCATCTGGTGATGAGAATGTAAAATTTAGACCTATTGCAATAACTTCACCTTTCCTCAAAACCGTGGAAAAATTATTAATACTTCCACTTCAGCCTGCGATAAAAGAGCATACTGACCCATACCAATTTGCATACAGGCGCAAAAGAAGCACTTTAGATGCTGTTGCAGTTCTGGATCACAACATAGTGTTCAACTTAGAAAAGGGTAAGAAGTATGTTCGATGTGCTTTTCTGGACTATACTTCAGCTTTTGATTCTATACCAAGAAAACGTTTAATTAACAAGTTAATCAGCGTCAACACTGACAGCTGGATAACTAACTGGCTATGTTCCTACCTCTCTGGAAGGGAACAGTACACTGTTTGGAGGAAAGAGTTCAGATTCTCTACTGTCTCAGGAAGGTGTACCACAAGGAGCTGTTCTTTCACCTCTTCTATTCTCTTTTTTTCTGCATGACCTGCCATCTTCCACAGAAAACACTTTTGTGAAGTATGCGGATGATCTCACTGTATGTATGCCTATCTCTTCCTCTTTACATCCCATAAAAATGAATAAGTTTTTGTCTTGTATTGATTGTTGGTCTGTTGGTAATGGTCTCATACTTAATCCGTCTAGATGTCAAGCTGTTAACTTTAGCATGAGATATGAACGGAATATAAACACTATTTTGAGATCCCATAGTGCTTGTACCATCGGAGACTCTTTGATAAACTCAGTGTCGAAGGTCAATTATCTTGGTGTCACCTTTTCCTCTGATCTGTTTTGGTCTTCCCACGTTTTATCGTTATCGAAGAAGGTTTTCCGTCTGACCTACTACATAAAGAGATTGCATGCTCTTGGAATTACTCGTCATTTACTCTTACAATTTGTCAATTCTTGCATATTACCTATTATTCTTTACTGTTCTCCGTTATTCTTTCCCGGGCTTTTGAGAAAAGACTTTGCTGTATTGCGAAGAGTGCTGAAGGCAGTTAGCAAGATGTGTGGTGAATCTTTCGAGATCATAATTAATATGGTTGTGGATAGACATTTAAAACCATGCAAACTCCTGGCAGGTGTTATTTTATCAGATACTAGCCATCCCCTTCACTCTTATCTTTCTCCTTGTATATCTTTTGGTAGAACGAGACGTAATTACATTAAAATCCATGCACGCAAGGAAAAGTACAAATGTTCTATATTACCTTATCTAGCAAATATACTCTGTGACGAACAGGTTGTTAGAGTTAATCTAGCCAATAACCTGCATTCTTAACATGACTTTAATTTTAAATGTTGTACTGTTATTCAGATATTTTTTTAAAACTTTTTTTTGTCTTTGTTACTATTTTTGTTTGCATAAGTAACTTGTTGAAATACCCTGTGCTGAGAATTCTACATTGTACCGAGATATAATATTGAATAAAGCCATTAATAATAATAATAATAACGTATGTGCACAAAGTTAAATCTGAGAGCATGTTTTTGACGAAATATGGAAAAATTTAAGCTACTTTTTTATCCGAAACGGTGTAAGTGAGAATTCATATGCGTAAAAATTTGTGTTAACAACTATCACGTCTGAACACAGACTGCCTGAGTATGACTGTATACTTGATAGTATAAAAGTAACGCTCTATAAACTTCAATAATTCCAAGAACGATAAAAGCTAATAACTTCCATACGGTGACGTGAAGAGCGTAAAAATTGGTACTGGGGATGCAGAAGATGTACTGTGAAAACTTTCATGTACAAGTTAAAGTAATTGTTCTTGAAAGGTGCTTTTTAAACGGATACAGACACTTGACAAAACTCACTCATGAAAAATACTTTTGCCAGCACTATCAGCTCTGAGGTTGGGAAATAAACTAGAAAGTAAAGATTCTAAAAGAAATAAAACTAACTACCGTTCACTAATACCAAACGTTTCACAAACAAACAGAGAACGTTGCTTTAGATCAACGTCATGGATCAGATATAATCGATTCACAAAGTGACAAATTAAATACAGCAGTTCCAAAGGAAGCCAGCCATAAATCAGTGGTGGGTAGAACCAAGGCAAAACAGTTATTAGAAACGTGATAAAATCAACAAGTTTTTTCAAATCAGAATCTGTAAATAAGATGGTAATGATAGTTTCAATCAGCCACTATAGGGGGGACTAGTATTCGAAAATGTAGACACCAGTGAAGGAAACATTACATACAACAGAACTACAGGGGGAGTAATCAATAGGAAATACATATATGGAGGTATTATCTCTATATTCCTAGACAATCGTGCCAAAAATAACTTTACACTGGTGTCCGAATTCCCTGCATGAAGTACATACTTTCGTGGCTGCTCTAAATCACTGCTCAATGTGATGGAGTTTGTCGGACTAACGGCAAAACGCCTTCACTCTCCTCTTCACACCAAAATGTCACGAAATAGTCAGGTTTTTCCCCAGACTTATGTTCATATATATGCACATCTCGAGTTCTCTTACGAATGGCCGAGTTGATAGAGATTGAGTTCGCGGTAAATAGTAACAAGTTATCCAACTCAATCAATCCCCATGCGTAGCTTCACTCTCAATTTCATATTCAGATAAAATATTCGTATTGTCTTCACCACAACTGACTAATCATTACTATGAAGTCGGAGAACTGCCCATTGTATTGCCATGGCATACTACTACATTGTCATCGCATGA